CAAGGATAACGCCTATAATTTTCGGTGATGATCAGATAATAATATTGGGATGAGATGGACCGAAAACTTAATTTTTTGTATTTTTTCTAGTCAATATATAGGCAACAATTGAAAGTCGAACATCATAACACAACCCATGGTGAAGGGAATCTGGACAAGTAATTAGAAGGTCAAGAGGGTGCAAATATAGCGAAATATTTTCCATGCTCAGAATATATAACCACAAAAAGTTAGATTTTCGTGGAAGTTGTGTAGGGTATCATATGGTCGGCCCCGTCCGACTATACTGCTCCGCTTACTGGTTTCAATATAGTTCCAGTTTCGACATATAAAGGTGGAGACCGAACACTTTCTCGAAGAACAATTTTTATTTTATTGCAATTTCGGAGTAGAAGTGCATTTTATTTTTTGTAATATCCTTTGCACTGACTATAATATTTGTTGGTGTGGTGTTCCAATTTATATTATTGTCTATCAACCTACTAACACGCCTTTTTTACTCATCATGCTTATAGTAAAATATTATTTCAATATCACGTTCCAACACTTGACCTTGTTGGTCTGTGGCATAAACCTTTGCCTACCACCCACACACCTTACAACTTAAACAACACTCCTCGTACACTATTGAAAAAAAACCTAATGATATGTATGTAGATATATGCTAATACAATATATCGTATTTTCTATACGTCATACAATGTACGTATATATCGTATATGGATGTAGATGATTGTGTGTTTTGCATGCATTTGGCATAGTTTGTTGCAATTTGTTTGCATCAGAATTTGTCTAGGTGGAGATATTGGTATGAGTGTGTGTGTGTATGTATGAGAGCATCTTGATTCACTTATTCCTTGATGCGTATACAATTGCAACGTGATCTCAATAGATGCTGCTCCCTTCTACTATTATGCCACACAACGTACATCTTCTTCGTCAATATCTAGGGGTTTTGCAACTATTCAACGTCATACATATCAAATGCAGTGCGTCTTTCAAATAAGAAAAAAAATGAAGAGGAAAATGCATAATTTGAATTCAAATATTATATATATGGTACATATCTGCGAGATATTTGGAAGTGACACGTGTCTCTATAGGCGCTGTTTCTTCAAAAAATCTTTTTGAAAAAAAGTTGAGACTTTGTGGGTTTCATAAAATAAAAAAAATCTGAGGAACTATTTAAATTATTTATATACTAATTAAATTATTTGTAAGCCCTACATCAACCAAATTAGTATTGTTTCATTGTTTTGTCATAAAAGAAATTTTGCAATGCAAGAAAAAGATAATCGCTTGGTGCCAAGTCCGGACTGTATTGCGAATGCATTAAGGCTCCCGAAGTTTCTGGCGAGTCACTGTAGATGGGTGTGGCCTAGCGTTGTCCTGGTGGAACACGTCACATCTCCACTTCACATGCTTCCATATGGAAGCAACTCATAATAAATAATCCCTTTTCAGTTCCACCAAATGCATAGCAGAAACTTCCTGGCCGTTAGTCCTGGTTTGGGCATCGTTTGTGGTGCTTCACCGCTCTTTGACCACGATCGTTTTCGCACAGGGTTATCGTATATTATCAATTTCTCATCTCTAGTCACCATCCTTTAAGAAATGAGTCTATTTCGTGCCGATTATGCAAGGCTTCGGAGATGGAAATTTGATCCATCCTATTTTTTCTGTTAATTAGTGTGACACCCAAACATCGAGCTTCTTTTTGAATCGAGCTTTGTGTAAATGGTTTAAGGGAACCACACCCATTCTTGATTTTAATTTTTCAAGATTTTCAATGGGCTTGTAAATCAATACCAATGCTTGTTAAGGTTTGTAACTTTGCACATATATATTTGAAGATTTAAAAGAGAAGAAAAATAATTTACAAAAAATGTTTGTTATTGTTTTGTTGTTGTTTTTTTGTAATTAAAGAAAAGTCCTTATTTTTGATGGCGGGCATGATAACTCCTCACTGGAACATCGGAATCCGAAAATTCCAACGGTGTTAGAAAGAGTACATGTCAGGCTTTCGTATGAACTAGGATTATTGACTTCGCTCTAAAATTAACAAAATGGCGGACCTTTGAAAAAATATTTTTGGAAAATCGCCGTTTAAAGTTTGAGAAGCCCTTTAGCCGTCACTTGATGCTGACACAATAAATCGGTTATATTTTCAAGAGTTCTTGAGATTTTCGCTTGAAATTTTGTAGGGACATTCTTGAATTAGTGTAGATTCGAATTAAAACAACAACAAAAATTGACCCCGAGAATGGGAGTTTTTTTTCTCGATTTTTAGCTCCTGAGCGGTGCTATCATGGCGAAATTCGTTGACCACTGATTTTTTTCTTGATATGTAGGGATAAAAATAATTGATTGACTGACAAATGTTCATTTCTACGTTCTGGTTTCGTCGATGGTCTGAGCCAATATATGTCTTCTCTTTATCGCCTTTCGAATTTGTCCGAAGATGTTTCTACGTTTTGGTCTGGTGAAAAGGGCCCTCGTTTTTCGAAAAGAGCCCTCACTGAAAATTGAGCGTCTGCAGGACTTTCATCTTTGAGGGAGCGCCGACCTGGATTAAATAAAGTGAACTAGTTTTCCACAACGCCATACAATGGTGCTTCATCATCCACTTCATCCACTTTTTTCGGGTTATCAGAGAACAAAATACTTCCTCGCTCTATTTTTTTAAGCTTTGTGCAGCCCCAAGAGTATGTAACGCCGCGAAATATTGGTCCTAGACCACTGTTTACCAAACAGGCGCCCGTGGGCGCTTTGGGAGAGTACCAATACAATCACAGTTCTGTGTTCGAACTCAACATAATTCTCGACATCGAACATTTTGTATGCTTTGCAATGCTTTAACATAGACGATCTGTATCGAGAGAGCGAAAATTACTCTCCTAACGGATCTATGCGTGTGTCCAACACATAGCAGTTTGCATATGTATTGTTGGCTAACCCTGTCCTAGACCCACCTTTAAGTATACCGATCGTTATATCTCGACTAGCTGAGTCGATCTAGACGTGTGTGTCCGATGTAAACAAGATACAGGCCGCAGTTATGGACCAATCTTCACGAAATTTTGCATGTAGGTATGGGTTCTGCCCAAATGGACCAAAAACTAAATTTTTATCTCCTGAATGACACCAATTATATTGCCGTATGTACTCGGATGTGGGAGTTACATTTTAATATTTTCAGTTGCTTACGTACTCAGATATTATTGAGCAACACATTACCACACTAGCGGCGGAAATACAGCGCGGATCGCTTTGAAATTTTCCATGAGGATCCAGGTATGGTCAAGGATAACGCCTATAATTTTCGGTGATGATCAAATAATAATATTGGGATGAGATGGACCGAAAACTTAATTTTTTGTATTTTTTCTAGTCAATATATAGGCCACAATTGAAAGTCGAACATCATAACACAACCCATGGTGAAGGGAATCTGGACAAGTAATTAGAAGGTCAAGAGGGTGCAAATATAGCGAAATATTTTCCATGCTCAGAATATATAACCACAAAAAGTTAGATTTTCGTGGAAGTTGTGTAGGGTATCATATGGTTTGCCCCGTCCTACTATACTGCTCGACTCACTTGTTTCAATATAGTTCCAATTTCGACATATAAAGGTGGAGACCGAACACTTTCTCGAAGAACAATTTTTATTTTATTGCAATTTCGCAGTGGAAGTTCATTTTATTTTTTGTAATATCCTTTGCACTGGCTATAATATTTGTTGGTGTGGTGTTCCAATTTATATTATTGTCTATCAACCTACTAACACACCTTTTTTACTCATCATGCTTATAGTAAAATATTATTTCAATTTCACGTTCCAACACTTGACCTTGTTGCTCTGTGGCATAAACCTTTGCCTACCACCCACACACCTTACAACTTAAACAACACTCCTCGTACACTATTGAAAAGAAAAAATCCTAATGATATGTATGTAGATATATGCTAATACAATATATCGTATTTTCTATACGTCATACAATGTACGTATATATCGTATATGGATGTAGATGATTGTGTCTTTTGCATGCATTTGGCATAGTTTGTTGCAATTTGTTTGCATCAGAATTTGTCTAGGTGGAGATATTGGTATGAGTGTGTGTGTATGTATGAGAACATCTTGATTCACTTATTCCTTGATGCGTATACAATTGCAACGTGATCTCAATAGATGCTCCTCCCTTCTACTATTATGCCACACAACGTACATCTTCTTCGTCAATATCTAGGGGTTTTGCAACTATTCAACGTCATACCTATCAAATGCAGTGCGTCTTTCAAATAAGAAAAAAAAAATTAAGAGGAAAATGCATAATTTGAATTCAAATATTATATATATGGTACATATCTGCGAGATATTTGGAAGTGACAGGTGTCTCTATTGGCGCTGTTTCTTCAAAAAATCTTTTTGAAAAAAAGTTGAGCCTTTGTGGGTTTCATAAAATAAAAAAAAGCTGAGGAACTATTTAAATTATTTATATACTAATTAAATTATTTGTAAGCCCTACATCAACCAAATTAGTATTGTTTCATATCTTAGGCTTTCATTGGGTGTCATACCTTTTTACCCAAAATATTCCAGTACCTAGCCCCATACAGAATCCCGATCGATTTTAGGGATTTCAATGTCCACCATCAAAACCAAAGTCCTGTCCAGTAAAACAAAACAACCCTTTGCCTTTGTAATTGAGGAATTTGTGTTTTTCCCCCTCCCGAATTCCCAGCCCGGGGGACTACTTAAAAAAATCAAAATTAAAAGCACTTTTTGCTTTAATACAATTACTAAAATTGAAATTAATTATTTTAACAAATTTTTCCCAAACTACAAAAAATATTTAAATTCAAAGGCATCTCAAAATCTTCCACTCTAATTCCTTGCCCTAAAAAATCGCGATTCTTATTTGATTTATTTCTTATTGTATTTCTAATACTTTCGTTATTCATGTTCTCCCTTTTTTCTTTTGGTTTTCTTTCAGCAGCAACAAATTTCAACGAGTGATACCAGTTCAACGTCACGTGACATTAGTACAACTACAACGGCCAGCAATGATGGCATTAGCGAAAGCATTGGCACCGATGGCAGCAATAGCTGTCGAAAAGGTGCTGCAAAGTTTTTATTAAGAAAACGTAAAACCAAGAAATCTCCAAAAGGTAAGTGTAACAATATAAAAAAATGACCGCCCTGTTGTAAAACGTTTTATTCGTTTCGCTTACCTTTCGGTATTCAATTCCTTGTTTTAACTGCCTCAGGCAACCAAGCGACCCTTTAACCAAATTGAATGAATGACTGAATAACTAGATGAAAGCCAAAAATGTAGCCATAGAAGAAATCCAAATCCCAAACCGGAGCCAAGCCAAGCCAAACCAAAGTGACAAGGGTTTCAATTGTGGCGCAAAGTAGCAGCATAAATTGCATTCCCGTTGCATCTAACTGCCCGTTTGGTCGCCACCATTTCTCTAGAAATTTGCCAACTTTGGAGTTGGCAATAAATTAAAAACTAATTAGAAAAAAATGAGATTGTTCTTCTTTCTTCTGCAAATTAATTTTTCTAGTTGGCGGTGTCTCTTTTTTTTCTAAGATGGTTTTTTCTTGTGTGGGCATTTTAATTAATTAAAAAAACTACGTATATTGCCCCACTAATGGAATAATGTCGGACATATTGCGAACTATTGAGACAGTTGTAGAGCAAGAACTTATTTTTCTTATTCTAATTAAGAGGGATAAATATAAAAAAGGAATCCAAGCAGTATAAACGGGAAAACTGGCTATGTGATGGCCCACTTCTGGGGGACTAAATCTCCAGTCCATGAGAATTTGTCCCATATTTATAATGTTAATATTAAGCTGGGTAAAACGGAAATCCATTTGGCCGGTCGTCGTAATTGTTGATAAAATCTGAGAAAAGAACGAAGTTAACCGGCATCTTAACAGGAGCTAAAAATCGATCATAAAATTATTTTAAACCATTTACACAAAGCTGAGTTCAAAAAGAAGCCCGAATAAATAGGATGGATCGAATTTCCATCTGCGAAGCCTTGGCCAAACGGAATGAGGTAGACCCATTTCTTAAACGGATGATGACTGGAGATGAGAAATGGATAACATACGATAACCCTGTGCGAAAACGATCGTGGTCAAAGAGCGGTGAATCACCTCAAACGGTTGCCAAACCAGGACTAACGGCCAGGAAGTTTCTGCAATGCATTTGGTGAGACTGGAAGGGGATTATTTATTATGAGTTGCTTTCATATGGCCAAACGCTAAATTCTGATCTCTACTGGCAACAACTGGGCCGTTTGAAGATAACAATTGACCAGAAACAGCCAGAATTGACCAACAGGAGAGGTATTGTGTTACACCGGGACAACGCTAGGCCACACACATCTACAGTGACTCGCCAAAAATTTCGGAATTGGAAGTTTTAATGCGTCCGCTTTACAGTCCGAACTTGGCACCAAGCGATTATCATAACTTTTAATATGACAACAAATCATACAACAAAACGGTGCATATTTGGCACAAATCGGACATTCTAAATAATTTCAGAATTCCTGACCTAAACATCGTCAATGCATACTAAGTTTCTGTTTGTCTCTAAAGGTGTTTTAAGTTAGTCTATAAATACTAAATACTGCTTAAAATTCAGCTGGTCTGAAACCACCCCTTCAAAAGGTATATAACGACTGACTTTATCTCGAGTATAAATGCCCATTCAGTTCGTCTATTAGGACTTCCTCTTTCATCTCGTCTATAAAGATTCCATGCTTCAGCTCGCCAACGAAAACACACTTTCGCTCGCATGGGAAGACTCCCTTCAGCACACCTATATATAAGGCCACCCTTCATCACGACTGCGAAGACTTTCCTCAGCTCGCCTACATAGGCTCCCTCCAACTGGTATATAAAGATTTCCTCTATAACGATTGCCTCCAGCTCGTTTATGAAGACTTCCCTTTGCTGGTCTATAAATACGCCCTTCTGTTGGTCTATAAAGACTCCCTTCAGATTCGTCTATATAGACTCCGTCCAACTCGTCTATAAATATTCCCACCAGATCGTCTATATAGAATCGCTTCAGGGCGTTTTTTTCAAGTCGCCTACGAAGACGTTCTTCCTCTCGACTATCTAGAAGGACTTTCTTCAGGTCATCTAATAAGACTCCCTTAACTTCGTCTGAAAAGACTCCCTTCAGCTCATCAAAATATACTATCTTTCGCTCGCATATTATGACTACCTTCAACTTGCCTTTTACTTTCGACTAAAAATATCCCTTCCAGCTCGTATATTATAACTCCATTCAGCTTGTTTAAATAGACTTCGTTCAGCTCCATTATGAAGGCTTCAATACGTCTACAAAAATTCCCTTTAGCTAATCTAAAAAACTTCCTTTCACTTTCAAATAAAGTTTCCCTTAAGGGGACCCCCCCCCCAATTATCGGGGTCAACATTTTTTTCTACACTAAATCAAGAATGTCCCTACAAAATTTCAAGTGAAAATCTTAAGAACGCTTGAAAATACAGCCGATTTATTGTGTCAGCATCAAACGATGGCTAAAGGGCTTCTCAATCTTTAAACGCGTTTTTCTCTTTTGCGAATGGCGGGCACGATAACTCAAAAACTAATAACCCAATCGATTCCAAATTTTTACACGTTTCTCTGTGAGTGTATAGCTATCGTATGAACTAGGATAAAGCCAATCGGTGAAGATCTTCCTCATTATACCCTACACAACTATGTTGTCAGGGTATTATAGCTTTGTGCAGCCCCAAAAGTTTGTAACGCCGCGAAATATTGGTCCTAGACCCACCTTTAAGTATACCGATCGTCATATCTCGACTAGCTGAATCGATCTAGACATGTGTGTCCGTCCGTCCGTCCGTCTGTCCATTATAATTTGTAAACACGATACAGGCCACAGTTATGGACCAATCTTCACGAAATTTTGCATGTAGGATGGGTTCTGGCCAATGAAGACCCCTATTGTTTTTGGGAAAGATCGGTTAATATTTAGGGGATGAAATGGACCAAATACTAAATTTTTGTCCGTTTTTCGGGTCGCTCCAGAGGCCGCAATAGTGGCCCGAACATCGTGAAATTTTCCATGGAGAAGGGGATCAGACCAAAGAATAAGCATGCCTGTTTTCATAAAGATCAGTCAATATTTAGCGGGTCAAATTGACCCTGACTTTTGTGTGAAAAATGACAAAATTTGTATTCTATAGCGAATATATTTACTCCTGGAGGATGTAGACCCGAAAAGTTTATATTATATCCAAGAGGAGTGGTTGACCTTTAAATTAATACCAATTATAATGTTGTATGTGCTCGGATGTGGGAGTTACACCTAAATATTTACAGGTATCTCCGTATTCGTATATTATTTAGTAAGCCATTATCACTCTACAGAGGGGAACTATAGCGCTGATCGCTTTGAAATGTTCCATAAGGTTTCAGTTATGGTCAAGGACAACGCCTATAATTTTCGGTGATGACCAGATAATAATTTTGGAATGAAGTGGACCGAAAACTTAATTTTTTGTGTTATTTTCGAGTCGATTTATAGACTACAAATGAAAGCCGAACATCACAACACAACCCACGGTGAAGGGAATCTAGACAATAGCTGTACTGAATACTCGTAGTATTCGGAAAATATGTCAGTGTTAGGACAATAGCTGTACTGAACAATAGCTGGACAATAGCTGTACTGAATACTCGTAATATTCGGAAAATATGTCAGTGTAAGGAAGAGGTGCTGTTTACCTCTAATCGGGTAAGAGGGTGCAAATATCACGAACTGTTTACCTCTAATCGGGTAAGAGGGTGCAAATATCACGAACTATTGCACAGGCTCGGAATATACATCCGCAGAAAATTTGAGTTCCGTGGTAGTTGTGTAGGGTATCGTATGGTCGGCCCCGTCCGACTATACTGCTCCGCTCACTGGTTTTTTAACTTGGTTTTTGGTAAAAATCGGTGATTTTCCAAAAATATTTTTTCAAAGGTCCGCCATTTTGTTAATTTTAGAGCGAAGTCAATAATCATAGTTCATACGAGAGCCAGACATGTACTCTTTCTAACACCGTTGGAATTTTCGGATTCCGATGTTCCAGTGAGCAGTTATCATGCCCGCCATCAAAAAGAACGACTTTTCTTTAATTACAAAAAACAATAACAAACATTTTTTGTAAATTATTTTTCTTCTCTTTTAAATCTTCAAATATATATGTGCAAAGTTACAAACCTTAACAAGCATTGGTATTGATTTACCAGCCCATTGAAAATCTTGAAAAATTAAAATCGAGAATGGGTGGGGTTCCCTTAAGCTCGACTGTAAAAATTCTCTTTAGGTTGTCCATTAAGACTACTTTTACCTTCATTTCTTCTGCTCGCTTAAAAAGTCTCGCTTCAGTTCGCCTATAAATTCTTCCTTCGGATCGCATATAAAGACTCCATTCATATCGTTATAAAGCTTCACTTCAGCTTGTTCAAAATAAACTCTCCACAGCCGATCCAAAAAGGGCCCCTCAGCTTATCTATTATTACTCCCCTCAGCTCGCTTATAACGACTCCATTCAGCTCGTCTATTAAGACTTTCTTTCGTATAGATTTCCTTCAGTTCGCCTATTAGAACTCGTTTTGACTCGTATATAGCTTAAAAATAACTCTGGTAATAATGTGAGATAAAATTAATGATATGATATGATTCCACCTATATTATATATAAAAATACTAAACTAACAACATATAATTTTTGCCACACTCCTACTAACTAAAATTTATTTCCTATACTTCCTATTCAATTTTACCCAATCTATTTACACAATGTTATCTTTATTACCAAAAACTGTATCTAATATTTCAATACAATTGCTTTTCGAGCTTCAATGTTTTTTTATTATTCTCCTCTTCATCTTCTTTTTGGTTTTTTCTTTTTTTCAGAAACTAAATCCTTGAAATCTCAGGAAAAGCCCTGTGTTAAATGTGTGGTTGTTGGTGATTGTGCCGTGGGGAAAACCAATTTAATACTATCATATCTTGAAAATCGTTTCAATACGGAGCATGTGCCTACAGCATCAGATATTTATAACGGTAAGTGAAAAGTTGAAACATGGGTTTTTTCTGTGCCTCTTAGCCAAAGAGGAAATAAATAGACCAGCCAAGATAAAGCATCAGATAGAGAAAAAAGGGACTGTTCACAAAAAAATTAAATCATAATTTATGTATAACATTCATTTGTCTTGCAATTTTATTTTTTGTTTTTGTTATGATATCATTTGGATTTACTAACCTATATACATATGAATGGATATATGCAATTTCTATTGGGGGGAAATTAGGACAGTGGTCAAGAAAAATATATGTTGGGGAAAAATATTTCTCAAATTTTGCATAGTTTTAACCAGCCTCATTCCTATGTATACATAGTGGAAAATTAGGGTGTTTTTAATCTTTTCTGGTATTTTTCTATAAATACTAATACCAGATCTTCCATAAAGACTCCTTCCAGCTCGTCTATAAACCACACCCTTTAAATCATCCATAGAGACACCCTGCGTTCGGTCTATAAATTTTCACTTCAGTTCGTCTCTAAAGATCAATAAAGAAAATCTAATAATAAATAATAATAACAAATTCTGAGAAATATTTCTGCTATCAAAATTTTGGGGGAAAATGTTCGTTTTTTAGATTCTTTCCTATCATCAAGTAATTTGAGAAAGCAATTTGGAAACCGTCGTTTTTCTAAGGCAATATTTTTCTATGAATTTTCTTTCCCTCTTTGCTTTTTATTCATTTTCTTTAGAAATTGATGTATACAGCAGTTTGTCCAAAGGCATATTATTGTTCTCATAGAAATAGTCTGCCCTTAAAATAATAAACTCAATATTTTGTTTTTGGTATGAACAGTTGTCGATTGAGGTATGAGCTAGTGATTTTTATACCCTACACAACTATGTTGTCAGGGTATTATAGCTTTGTGCAGCCCCAAATGTTTGTAACGCCGCGAAATATTGGTCCTAGACCCACCTTTAAGTATACCGATCGTCATATCTCGACTAGCTGAGTCGATCTAGACATGTGTGTCCGTCCGTCCGTCCGTCCGTCCGTCTGTCCATTATAATTTGTAAACACGATACAGGCCACAGTTATGGACCAATCTTCACGAAATTTTGCATGTAGGATGGGTTCTGGCCAATGAAGACCCCTATTGTTTTTGGAAAAGATCAGTTAATATTTAGGGGATGAAATGGACCAAATACTAAATTTTTGTCGGTTTTTCTGGTCGCTCCAGGGGCCGCAATTATGGCCCAAACACCGCGAATTTTTGCATGGAGAAGGGGATCGGGCCAGAGAATAAGCATGCATGTTTTGATAAAGATCGGTCAATATTTAGCGGGTCAAATGGACCCTGACTTTTGTATGAAAAATGACAACATTTGTATTCTATGGCATATATATTTACTCCTGGAGGATGTAGACCCCAGGAGTTGATAGCATATCCAAGAGGAGTGGTTGGCGTTTAAATTGATACCAAATATAGTGATGTATCTACTCAGATGTGGGAGTTGCAGTCAAATATTTACAGGTGCTTACGTATTCAGATATAATTTAGTAACCCATTACCACATTAGAGGGAGAAATATCGCGCTGATGGCTTTGAAATTTTTCATGAAGTTAAAGTTATGGTCAAGAACAACGCCTACAATTTTCTGTGATGATAATTTGAGAAAGCAATTTGGAAAGATTAAAATGTTGGGATGAAATGGACCGAAAACATAATTTTTTGTGTGTTTTCGAGTAGAGTATAATCCGAAAATCACAACACAACCCACCGTGAAGGTAATCTGGACAAGTAATTAGAAGGACTGTACTGAATATTCGAAAAAAGTAAGGAAGAGGTGTTGTTAACCTCTAATCGGACAAGAGGGGGCAAATATCACGAAATATTACTCCGACTCGGAATAAACATCCTCAGAAAGTTAGAGTTCGTGGTAGTTGTGTAGGGTATCGTATGGTCGGCCCCGTCCGACTATACTGCTCCGCTCACTGGTTTTTTTTGGTTTCAGTTTATTATATGGACTTTATTTTCCGGTCTGTTGTTTATCGTTTTATATTTTTGACCATGAATGGTATGATGGATGCTTTTTTATTTATTTGTTTTTTGTTTTTATTTTTGGTACAGTATTTAGACTTAAATGTTTTTACTGCTCAGTAAAAAATTGGCAACCATTCTGTATGCAATTTATTTATTCATTCGTTTAGTCAGTCAGCCTACCAGCCAGTCGCTTTCTCATTTATTTGCTATACCGCCCTTTTCCCATTCATGAATTCATGACATAAATCCTTGTTAACAATTTTGAATCGTTTAAAAAACAAATTTTCACCATTCATTCAGTATTTTTTTCTCAATGTTCATATTCTTTCACTTTTCGTTAAATGATAAATTGATTCTTTTTTTGGCAAATCCTTTTTTGTACTGAACCGAAATTCTGTGCTTTATGACACAGATACAAAAGAAAAATATCGTGGATAGCGTTAACAAATTGGAGGGGCAAATTAGCTGGGCAGCAAGGATGTTCCCAATAGAGTTTTTTGTGAATCATAAAGAATTGATAATATCAATGGGAAAAAATGATGTGTAAAACATAAAATCGAAATAAAAAAACATCGTGTATAAACCCACCTATCAATTCGTCTATAAAGCCACCCTTCCAGTAGTCTATAAATACCCTCTTTCGCTTGTGTATAAAGGCTCCATTCCGCTTGTTTATATATGTTCCCTTCCGCTCAGGTATAAAAACACCATTCAGAGCTCGTCTATAAATACTCCCTTCTGCTCGTCTAAAATGACTGCCTTCAGCTCGTCTAAAAGACTCCTTTAAACTCGTCTATAAAGTCTCCCTTTCAGCTCGTCTATAATGACTGCCTTCAGCTCGTCTAAAAGACTCCTTTAAACTCGTCTATAAAGTCTCCCTTTCAGCTCGTCTATAAGGTCTCCCTTCAGCTCGTCTATAAAGTCTCCCTTCAGCTCGCCTATAAGGTTTCCCTTCAGTTCTACAGAGACGAGTTCCCTTAAGCTCGTCTATGAAAACTTCCCGATTTCAGCCTTCAACTCATCTACAAAGTTACCCCGTTTTATTATTTCCACTTTTTTAAATATTTTACATCCGACAAAAATCGACGTCTCTGCTTTGCAAAAACTAAAAAACAGACAAACGCATTTTTTTCAATATCCGCCATATGAAAGTGAGTGAGTTATGATGTGCTTCAGAACATATCATCATGGCCATGTCATGGGTTATCTTTACGGTCGTTATCATCACCAGCAGCTTCATCTCTGGTGGGTTGGCGTGCTGTATATGTGGGTATCTATTAGTAACGGGAAGCTGTGCCGAAGGACATTCATAAATTCTGTATAGGCTCAAACGTTATGATTTATATGACCCATTAAAAGGAGTTAAATATTGGATATACAATTTACAGGATCCTGAAAAAATGAAAAAATAAAAATAAATTAATTTATGAAACTACGAGGAATACATTCAGGATCGGTTAATTTTAATTTTAAATTACAATTTCCGCATCCTTTAATTTTTCGTCAGTTGTTTTTCCTCACTTCGAAATAAACTACTAAATTTTGCATATTTTTCACCAGCTTCATTCTAAATTAATTAATGGAACTACGAGGAATACATTCGTCAGTTGTTTTTCCTCACTTCGAAATAAACTACTAACTAGATTTCTCCACCATCTCACTTCTATGTAAACAGTAGATATTTTGAAGTGTTAAAAAATAATTTCCTCTTAATTTGTATCATGGTGTCTAGTGTTTTTGGTTGGACTTCTATTTGTAGTGTAACAACCAACATTACAAACAATTTCACGTTCTGTGTGGAGGAGCATCGTTTGTCGGTATGCCTTAAAAAAGTGGCATTTATTTCGGCCGTAGAGTAAAAATTTCATCTTTGACTTTGACAAAAATTTATACGAACATACAATTTTTATATAGTTTTCTCTCAGTTGACAATTATGTCATGGTTATTATATTTAGTCCAATTAGCATTTTATGTTGTCCAACATAGTTCTTGTTCTCGCTTCTTGTATGCGTTTGACAAACACTGAGTTGGCAAATATAAACAGATTTTTGTTTTAATTAACGGGATACGTCATTGTTTTTTGTTTGTCTGTTTAACCTACTTGTCTGAAATGTAAAAAAAACAACAACAAAAGTTTTTGACGACTTGTCAACACTTTTCAGTCCATATGTAGTTTGACATTAAATATAAATTGTAATAATGAACCGGCCAGCATATATATGTCTACTGTGAGCTGAGTTTTATGTGGTTTTGTTGGAAAACTGCGTGTAAATTTAAAAAGGATGTCAGTCATGCTATACGAACTGAAGAAAGATCTGGAGAAGAATTATTTATATACGGGGTGAATCGAGTTCTTAAAGACGAGTTTAAGGTACTCTTTATAGACGAACTGAAGGGCGTCTTTATAGACGAGCTGAAGGACGTCTTTATAGACGAGCTGAAGGGCGTCTTTATAGACGAGCTGAAGGGCGTCTTTATAGACGAGCTGAAGGGCGTCTTTATAGACGAGCTGAAGGGCGTCTTTATAGACGAGCTGAAGGGCGTCTTTATAGACGAGCTGAAGGGCGTCTTTATAGACGAGCTGAAGGGCGTCTTTATAGACGAGCTGAAGGGCGTCTTTATAGACGAGCTGAAGGGCGTCTTTATAGACGAGCTGAAGGGCGTCTTTATAGACGAGCTGAAGGGCGTCTTTATAGACGAGCTGAAGGGCGTCTTTATAGACGAGCTGAAGGGCGTCTTTATAGACGAGCTGAAGGGCGTCTTTATAGACGAGCTGAAGGGCGTCTTTATAGACGAGCTGAAGGGCGTCTTTATAGACGAGCTGAAGGGCGTCTTTATAGACGAGCTGAAGGGCGTCTTTATAGACGAGCTGAAGGGCGTCTTTATAGACGAGCTGAAGGGCGTCTTTATAGACGAGCTGAAGGGCGTCTTTATAGACGAGCTGAAGGGCGTCTTTATAGACGAGCTGAAGGGCGTCTTTATAGACGAGCTGAA